TTTTATTTTTATTACCACTTTTAGGGAAAGGTCACGCGACTGCTTGCTTCCATTCTCGAGGAACGATCCATTGAGTCAAGGGTGCATTAAAAACATTTCAGTCACTTCCGGTGTGACCATAGTTGCCAAACTGTTGAGAAACAGCGGATGTAATCCAGCAGGTCCCTGGGGGTTAGAACAATCAAGGTTTGCTAGTAAGCGCATGACTTCATCCGCTAAACATGCCAGAGTAGCCAGTTTCGCATCGCTCGGGGTATATCCGAATACTGGAGTGTTTGTACGGAACACTGTCTCGAAATGCGAAGCAAGTGCCATAGCTCGGTCTGCGTTGGCATTCAACGGCTCACCAGGTACGTTTACCAATTCAGGTAATTTATCAGTTGGCTTACGTCTAGGTTCGATATACGCAATTTGCTTGGGCGCCTCGTTTGCAACTGTTGATAAGTACAGCTCGTAATATGCACGTTTCTGTGGTTTCACTATACTGCAGCGAGTTCTCTGCGTTTTATAGGCGGCGTAGTCATCGGCGCTGTGTTTGGCTGAAGTGCTTCCATAACTTCGTGCGTCGTCCTGATAGTACAACATAAATAAATAAATTGTATATTCCTCGACGATGCGAGAATCTGTTACCTAAAAGGAACAGATCAAATAATAGTACCACCATTCCATGACATTGTATTAATACTGTTTCAGGAAGAAACATGGGCGCAATTGCAAATTAGGTAACAAAGAGAAATCAGAACCTTTCTGCTATTCTTTCCCGCCATTGAATCAGGATGCTTTACAATCATATGTCGAATGTTTTGGCTGAGAAAAAGTGTAATGAAAGGGGCTGTTGTCCGAAATGTTTTGTGTACGTGTTTCGAAAGTTTATTAAGGCACCATGGATACGGTTTTCGAACGCGCTACCTATGGACTGTGATGTCCTGAAAATATTCATCACGTTTTGGACGGTTAAATGCTTATTAATCGTAAGCTTAAAATTGCAAAGAGTGTATAGCATACTTTGATATCAGTTGGAAGTTTGTTCCAAATATTTGAGTAATGGGTTAGGAAGAAACGTTTGCTGATTCTCGCGGTAAATTTTGCAATCATGACGTTTGCTTCTTCGTTACATATCGTATATTTTCTGTTTAAAGATATGTAAACACCGTTATCAAGAATGCGAATTTGACAGGTTATAAGTGTAAAGAAAACCTAGGTTCAGCTTCATTATCAGAGGCCAAATTGGGTCAAATCCAAGTTTATCACATCGCTTACTGTATGTCAACTTTGAGGAATATGCACATAGCTTTTTTGGGAAGCCTCTCTAGACCCTCTCAAGAGCGCGTTGGTCAGATTTCCGCAGATTTGACTGTACCGTTGGACAGTATTCCATACACGGCAATACATATGTTTTGTAAAACCATATGCGAGACTCCGTGAGGTAAAAATGATGGCAGTTGTAACCGATGGTCTTCATGGCTTTCGAAACTTGAAAGTCATCGTGTTCAGAAAAGTTAAACGTAACTGAATATCGCAGGCCCAAGTCGCGAACTGCCCTGCATTGCGAGCTATATGCGCCTTGTAGTAGTAAACCGTCTGACGGTACTTGGCATACGTACGACAAAATATTTCACTTGTCCACGGCAAATGACATCTGCCAAAGTAGGCACCAGGAGTCAAGGACAGATAGCTCATCCTGAATGAGACGTACGGCTTCCTAAGTATTGGCAGGTAGTTGTGAGTAGACAACTTTAATGTCATCAGCAGAGATAAATCTGACATTGTTTCTTATTCTCTGGAATATATCGTCAAAATATAGTAGAAAAAGAAGAGGACCAAGAACACTTCCTTGAATTGCTCCACTGGCGATTGCTTTCGGTTTAGCGAAATGGTCGCCTACGCGCACCACCTGCTGTCTACCAATTAGATATGAAAGCAGCCAATAGAACATCGGTTCACCAACGCTTATAGCCTTCAGTTCGTTTACTAACCTTCTGTGAGTCACTCTATCAAAGGCTTTTTGCATATCCAGGAACAAGATTACGACACTGTTTCCGTTGTCAATGGCAGCCGTTGTGTGGTTTAACAAGTCAGTCTGGCATGCTGCGCAGGAGCGATCTTGCATGAAGCCGTGTTGTGAATTGCTGATGAGGTTAGCATTGTTCAAATATATAAATAGTTCATCTTTCACTATCCTTTCCATTATTCTAGCTACGATGGGTGTGTGATTGCTGGGACGAAAGTTTTTAACCTCGTGGGCAGCGCCATTTTTATGTCGCGGGATAAAGACAGAAGTTTTCCATTGAGTAGCTTATACTCCGTTGTTGAAAGAGAGTGTAAAGATGTTGAGCAAAAGCAGAAGGAAGTCACTACCACTGTATTTTATTAAACAAGGTGGATCCCATCAGGGCCTGCTCATGTTGAAGAGCGTAAGCGAGAGATTTGACCAGTGATTTTCGCTATAGTGAATTCCACTGTGCATAGACCCTCATTGTTGTGCGGCATGATAAGTGTTGGCGTGTCTGATGATTCATTGAGCATTGATTCGGCAAAATAAGCACTGAAAGCTTCGCAGATATCACCTGGTGCGTCGTAGTATGTTCCATCAGGCGTGGTGATAAAATTGAAATTGTTGCTGCAACGCGAACCCCGGGCGCGGAATAGTTTGGCTAGCTCAGCTGTTTTGCTAGGGCCGTTCAGAGCTTTATACTCTTCTAGAATGAGAGTTTTGTCACCTTAATGTCTCTGTTCTTCGACGAGCTTCGAGTGCTGTAATAATAGCGCAAAGTCAGCAGTTAACCTGAATTTCTGCCGAATCTTATGAAGCTTTCGTGCTGCCTTCAACGCCTTGCGATCGGATTTATGTTTAGTTTGGTAAGCACATTTTAATGGTACTGCTGAATCGATGCAGAAGCCAATAATACTATAAAACAGGTCCGTCGCATGTTGAGGACATGAAGAGAGAAAGAAGTTATCCCAATTCATCGAACGAACCAGGTCCTTGAAAGAGTTCCAGTTGACAGAACTGAACAGACGATAATGCATTGTCTTCTGTACATCAGCCATGAGTAGTCTTAGGCGGCATTTGAGCGCGCGATGATCACTCTTTGGAAATTCATCAAGAACGTTAACATTGATTGCAAGTAAGCTTAATGATAAAATCAGATCCAGAGTACTTTTACCTCTGGTAGGTTGGGAGACGTGTTGCTGCCAACCATACATTTGGATACAGGAGATACGGTTTTGGTATTTAAAATGAGCGGTTCACATGGATCATGAAATTGAAGGCAGATTGAAATCACCTCTATTAATCTAATTTAAAAATGGTACGCTTGTGGCACATTCAAATACAAGCGTCAAAAGTTCTAGGTCTTCTTAGCTGCGGTTTGGCGCGCTGTATATGCATCCCATAAACAGCTGCTGCTGATTAACAGATATGGTAAGCCAGATTGATTTCTGAACATTGTTCAACAGTGGGTTCTCGAACGGTGCTGCTGCGAGCGATTTTTTCAGATAAATTACACAGCCACCACCTCGACGACCAGGCCGATTTCTCATAAACTTGTTATATCCGAAAATAGTCAACTGATTGTCAGACATGTTACCATGGCACTAAGATTCAGTTATAAATATTATATCATGATTATTCACCAAAACAAACGGGCATAGTGTATGGATCTTAGAGTGAAGAGAACGGTTGTTTATCATAAATACTGAGATAGATGTGATATATGAGGAAGGTTGTTTAGGTTGTGTTATAAACAATGGGGTTTCAAGACGTGTGACTGTACCCAGGTTAGAAATTGGTGAAAAAGTGCGCGTATTGCCAACGGTGGAAAATGATTTGGACGTGGCCACAGCGGAGGGGGCTGAGACCGAGTGTGCCCCCCTGGAAAATATGTCAAGCGAAAGAGTCCATGATTGTCGTAATAGCCTGTGGGAGCTGCAGAGATAGGTTGTGTCCTCTGCATCATGTTAATAAATAGGCTGTTGATTACGTAACGCATTGATAGGAGTCAGTGAGCTGCTGTCAGCTTGTAGCAGTCTGGAGATTCCCCGGTTTGCTTGTGTAAAATTCTAACCAAAATTCTTTAATTGTACACCTAGGCAACCGGTGTGGTCTGTTGAACTGCTTGCTGAGTTCGAATGCTTTACTTGCTCATCGCCATTTTTGCTTGGCGCTCGCTTCGGTTGCAACGCGCGACTGCTCTGTGTGCTGTGCTTGATCCGTTCCCCTAGCTAGAGCGTCCACGGTGTCGTTCATTTATAGCTAGCTAACAGGGAATCTTTTGCTGAACCAATAAAAGTTTCCCTGCAACTCGATCCGTCTTCTGGAATCGCTCTCTGGGCTCCCGGAATAGGCAACCCTCTAAATTGGTGACCCCGGATCCGGAACAATCTCAACGCCGGATATTTCGAACTTTTCTCCGGTGAGCTCGTTCCATTTATTTTTCATATTTTCCGGTTTATTTTTGCATACGGTAGCCTATTTTTTCGCGTCATTTTTTCAAATCATGGAATCTGTAGACCATAAGGTAGAGTCTATGCTTAGTGTTGTATCTCTCTCTGTTCCACCTTTTTGGGACACGGATCCTGTTTTGTGGTTCGCTCATCTGGAGGCTGAGTTTTACAACCACAGAATCACTTCCGACTACGCGAAGTACTGCAAGCTCCTGTCCTATCTCCCCAAGGAGATATCAATGCAGGTTCGTGACGTCATCATTTCTCAGACCGAAAACCGCTATGAGGCTCTCAAGGAAGCCACGATTAAGCGTGTTATGCCCTCTGAGAAAGTTCGCCTGCAGCAGCTTTTCAGGGATCTGCAATTGGGCGACAAACTGCCCTCAACCCTGCTACGCGAGATGCAGCAACTCCTTGGTTCATCAACCATGGACGAGACTTTACTTCGCGAACTATGGCTACAGCGGCTACCGGAAAACACACAAGCGATTCTCGCTACAGTGAGCTCCGTTCCGCTCACTCAACTAGCAGACTTAGCGGATCGAGTTATTGAACGATCACAGCCACAGGCCAACGCCAGCAAGGTCCATGCCGTCGCGTCCCAGGGCACTTCTATCACTGGCTTACAGTCAACTATAGAAGCCCTGCAAACACAAGTCGCGACACTTAGTCGCCAGGTCCAGCAGCTTACTATGACCCGTCGTCGTCCTAGCCGCTCAACATCGCCCTGCAAACGTTCTAAGTCTAGCAACAGGCAAGCTAGCTGTTGGTACCATCAGCGTTTTGGTACCGCAGCTCGTAAATGTGTAAAGCCTTGCAACTTCGCCGAGAAGCAGGGAAACCTCGGCCGGTCGGTAACGGCGACGGACGCGCCTGGCCAACACCAAAGTCGCCTCATCCGCGTTAGGGATTTAACTTCCGGCACCGAGTTTCTAGTAGACACTGGTGCCGAAGTTAGCGTTATACCCCGTAGCTCAGATGAGGTCGTCTCACCATCGCCGACCAAGCTGCGTGCCGCCAATGGCACACCAACCGCAACTTTCGGCGAAAAGCTGCTAACGCTCAACTTAGGCCTCCGGCGAACCTTTCGCTGGCCTTTCATAATCGCTGCTGTGCCTTTCGCCATCATAGGCATAGACTTTCTTCAACGCTTCGACCTCATCGTCGACGCTAAAAGGAAGAAGCTTATTGACTCTAGGACACAGCTCAGTGTTATCGGGACTAGCGCCAACGTGGCTGCTATCACTCCCATTTGTGTCCTACCTCAAGCTTCACAGTCTTTTCTAGAACTTTTCAGCAAGCACCCTAAACTCGTTCGCGTCCTGAACGACTTGCCTCCTGTGACGTCAAACGTCACGCATCACATTTGCACTAAGGGCCCACCTGTTTCGGCCCGCCCTCGCCGACTAGCCCCGGACAAGCTCAAAGCTGCTAAGGCGGAATTCGAGCAAATGCTCGAACTGGGAATAATCCGCCCATCCAAAAGTCCATGGGCATCACCATTACACATGGTGCCGAAGAAATCCGGTGACTGGCGCCCTTGTGGTGACTACAGGGCACTTAACAAAGTTACCGTCCCGGATAAATACCCAATTCCGCACATGCACGACTTGACCTCAGCTCTAGCTGGCAAGTCTATCTTTAGCAAGGTCGACCTAGTTCGCGCCTACCATCAGATACCTGTGGCGCCAGACGACATTGCTAAAACAGCAGTCATCACGCCATTTGGCCTATTCGAGTACCTCAGAATGCCTTTCGGCCTCAGCAACGCTGCCCAAACCTTTCAGCGTTTCATTCATGAGGTAACGCGAGGACTCGAAGGCGTTTATCCCTATCTCGATGACATTCTCATCGCCAGCTCTTCTGACGAGGAGCATCTTCGTCACCTTGACGCTCTCTTCCAACGCTTAACCCAGCATGGGGTTACCGTCAACCCCGATAAATGCGAGCTTGGCCAAAGCTCCATCGACTTTCTTGGCCACCGCATATCTGCCTCTGGTATTGAAGCTCTGCCAGACAAAATCCAGGCACTGAAGGACTACCCTGCTCCCAGTTCCTTCAAGCAGTTACGCCGATTCCTTGGCCTGGTCAACTATTATCGACGTTTTATTCCTAACTGCGCGAGCATTGTTCAACCAATGACTGACTTGCTCCGCGGTAAACAACGGTCTTTTCACTTTACAGACGACGCTAAATTGTCTTTCGAGAAGCTTAAAGACGCTATCTCCAACATAGCGCTTCTCGCCCATCCAGACACGTCTGCATCACTCTCTCTGACAACTGACGCATCAGACACTGCCGTCGGTGCAGTTCTTCAACAACTCATCGACCGTCGATGGATACCTCTAGGTTTCTTCTCAAAGCGCTTACAACCTGCCGAATCGCGATACAGCACCTTCGGTAGGGAACTGTTAGCTATCTACCTAGGTATCCGACATTTCCGTCACTACCTCGAAGGTCGACATTTCACCGTCTTCACCGACCACAAGCCATTGATCTACGCAATCAATGGCGCAACGGACAAGTACTCGCCGCGGGAAACTAGACACCTAGACTACGTTTCTCAGTTTACGACAGACGTACGTCATGTCTCAGGTGCTCTCAATCCCGTCGCGGATGCGCTTTCACGCATTCAACAGATCAGCTTATCGCCTGGCGCCAACATTGATCTAGCCGCTATGGCTGCTGCCCAACAAGCTGATCCCGACATAAGCAAGCCACGACGCAACACCACTGAGACGATCACCATTGATCGACTCAAGCCAGCATTCTTCGACAAGTCTGACTCGCCGGTGCAACAAGCACCTTCACAGCCTGTGCCATCACAGCCGGCACCGCAACCTCAGACGAGTCAGTCCGGTCCAGCAGATCCGACAACCCCAACCGACAGCACTCCTACCCGCCCTACTCTCAATCAACGCGGTAGGAAGCTCAAACCTAAGGTTCGTTTTTCGGACTCCGTTCGCACTTACTTTTTTACGTAGAACGTGCCTTCGAAATTTTCTGCTCTTACTAAACGTTTTTGAAAATCCACAAAAAAAGACCAAAACGTTTTGAAATTACCAAAAAAGAGCAAAATCTATTGAAAACCCAAAAACAGCTTTGCACGTTTTTCGCTTTGCACTCTTTTGTGTATTGCTATGCATTTATGCTGTTTTTTTCATTTTGCTTTCCATATACACCGTCGGTTGGTTGCACCTCGGTTTCACTTTCGCTGGATCCCCGCACGTCAACTGCAAGTGGAACGAACTTCCTGTTCAACTGCCTACGTGAACTTTATTAACTGTCCCCCCACAAACAGTTTTTTTTACCGTTTCGACACCGTAGGGAGGACACGGGTGGGAGCCCGCTAGGGTCCGATTGCATGGTTCTCCCCCAGCAGCTGCATCGGGTTTCACAACCTGGTCTCGCAGAAGGCTGGCCGGCGACGGACAGTCCTCACGTAGATCGAAGGACTGCTTACACAGTCCCTTCTGGGAGAGGGCTATGTAGCAGTCTGGAGATTCCCCGGTTTGCTTGTGTAAAATTCTAACCAAAATTCTTTAATTGTACACCTAGGCAACCGGTGTGGTCTGTTGAACTGCTTGCTGAGTTCGAATGCTTTACTTGCTCATCGCCATTTTTGCTTGGCGCTCGCTTCGGTTGCAACGCGCGACTGCTCTGTGTGCTGTGCTTGATCCGTTCCCCTAGCTAGAGCGTCCACGGTGTCGTTCATTTATAGCTAGCTAACAGGGAATCTTTTGCTGAACCAATAAAAGTTTCCCTGCAACTCGATCCGTCTTCTCGAATCGCTCTCTGGGCTCCCGGAATAGGCAACCCTCTAAAAGCTCCATCTATGAGTAAAATCCGCTTTATTGCGCTCGATATACAAGGTTTCACTATACGGCTTGGAGGCACACTAGTGTCAATCCATACACCAACATCAGCTGATCCGTGTGGTTCGTTGATGGAATCGGAAAGTCATGGTACCCAATTACATCGTTTGTAAGGTGCAAAGATGGCGATACGTCTTCCAGAACTTTATGACCAATGAATGTACATCTATCCTAACAAATGACGGCACAGAGTCGCCCCGTGATGCTTGCGATAAATCTAGATCTACCGTACTTTTACTTTCGATCAATTTGACCGGATTCATAGGTATTCCCGGTGAGCTTGGACACTGGCCATAGCAAACTTTAGGCGGGATATGAGAGTTCGAGGCTTGAGGTAGCGGTTTCGCATGTAATTGCGATTTAGCAGGTAATGCAGTTGTTATTCGCTGATCCTCATTGCTGACACTTCGCATACAGGAAAGAGCATTAGGAAACTCTACATGACTTCCAGAACTGATTATCCAAGAGGAAGCCCCATGTACATCACTAGTTTCGTGGATTGTAGTCATTTTGGGCTTGGTCGGTTTATCATGCTTAGCCGTGAAACTGCGGCCTAGTGGAGGTCCTCCAGTAACCAATTTCGCATCTGACTTTGAACTTAGCTTCGAAGTGCGAGAATTAGGATACTGCATCTAAAGCAATAGAGTGGCCCGCATATATATGTGATTCCTTGTTAATTTCAAAAATCACTTTAGCATGCACCGCTTCGGCCACATTTGCTGCAGGCGTAGTATTATTTTCACACTTGTGGTGGCCACTAAGTGGACCATATCAACTGGATGCGGGGTTCCACATTTCTGTTGGGTCTTCTGTTTTACCTCAAACGTTCTCCTCCTTATCTCTCATTGTAGCGGGGTTTTAAAGCGAGAAGCAGGATCGGTACGCTTTAAAACCAATACGCGAAAATAAGGCCAACCTCCGATGAGTGGAGAACACCAAACGTAACGCTAGGAAAAATTTATTAATGGGGCTAAACGCTATCTAGTACTAAAAATAAGGCACCGGAAGATAGCTAGCTAAGGGAAAGTGGTGGTCGCGTGCGCGGAGAGCAAAGATGGCCGCGGAGCCTATGAGCGTCGCGCCGTTCGAAGGTGGATGCTATGTTGACTCAAGCAAACGCGAGCAACGTTCAAACAGGCGAGCGGCTAATTTGCTATGTACATTGAGAAAATATAATTTTGTGATTTTGTAATATTTTACGCAGCATGCGGCAGCCAAACAGGGGAATCTCCAGGTCACTACAGTTTGTCCTCCGTAGGTTTCAGGCATTTGAAAGTCGTATTAAACACAAGGTGACTGTACTTTTGAATGAATTGTTTAACAATAAGTTCATTTTGAAACTGGAAAAGAATGGGACACGCGTAACGCATTATATTTTTTCGTAGTCTTATGCCGCTGGACCAACAAGATTGCATACTGCATGCAGTGAGAAGCACTTTCTGAACAGTTTTTAATGATAAATTGTCTGACACATTACAAACCATCGCAGTACACGAACAGTGTACTCGATTGTGTACTTCGGTTGAAATGGAGTCTATCAGTACACTGCACTTCATGAGGTTTATTCTATCAATATTTGGGGGCGATTCAAATAAGACAGCTAGACTCTGCAAAGGTTGGAATATCGATGTGAGCATGTCGACTTTTAATGCAAGTTCAGCGTATGCAGTTTTAGCTCCGGATGGACATTTTGCTGGTCTTTCTCTGGTCAGCATTTAGTCCAAGGGAATTTCCCACAGCGCCTACACTGCTTTGGCTTCCAGCCTTTGTGCGAAGTACCTTAGTTCTTGTCTCAGATTTTGAACTAAAATGGAGGCATCCTGGCCCATAATACTATTTTTCCTCATCGGGCGTATCCTTACTGTAGACATGATAATGAAACCGAAGTAAGATACACTGAAACAAAATCAGAGAAGCTTAAACAATGGGTGCTAACTACTGATCCTTAACTGAAAACCCACGTCTAATATAA